ATCGACCAGCTGCCTCCTGCACACTCCCTATTGGGGATGTGCCCGCAACCAAGGTACATGCCCTTGACCGGAATCGAACCTGGGACCTTTCAGTCTGCAGGCCAACGCTCTATCCTCTGAGCCAAACTGGTTCATTAAGGACAAAGAATCTTTAAAGGCAGCAAGAGAGAGACAGAAAGTTACCTATAAAGGATTTGCCATAGATTGTCAGCTTTCTCAATAGAAACACTTCGGGCCAGAAGAAATTGGCATGAAATATTCAAAGTAATGAAAAGCAAGGACCTGAATCCAACACTACTCTATCTAGCAAGGTTACCATTTAAAATTGAAGGTGAAATAAAGAACTTCCCAGGGGGGGCGGGGAGCTAAAGGAGTACATTACCACCAAACCAGCATTACAATAAATGTTAAAGGGACTTAAGAAAAAGAAGAAGAAATTGAGAGAGGGGAGAACAAGTATAAAGAAAAAATGGCAATAAATAAGAACCTATCAATAATAACCTTAATGTAAATGGACTAAATGCTCCAATCAAAATATATAAGATAGCTGAATGGATAATGAAACTAGACCCATATATACGCTATCTACAAGAGACCCACCTCAGAACAAAAGATTCACACAGATTAAAAGTGAAGAGATAAAAATTGTGCTGAAGGCTGGGAGGTGGGTGTAGCCCTGCTGAGCTGGTTCTATTAGAATTGAGGATCTGTGGAGACTGGAGAGGCTGCAGATCTGTAGGTGAGACAGGAGGGCCTGAGACTGAGAGAGGAGGCCCTGAGGGCACTGGCTGTGGACACTGTAGAGTGGGTGCAGCAGTGGAAGCCTGGGGCTGAAGTCCCTCCATAGAGTAGCACTAGCACCCAACCACAGTGCAGTCTGGGAAGTTCCTCCTGACCAGGGGGAAGGGCCATGCAGTGGAGCTCAGGGCCAGCCTACATTGGAAGGATCTGAAGGACACACCCAACATTGAATCTGGAGGACCCTTTATTTCTTGGAGGAACTCATGGAAAAATCCAGGAAGAAGGATCAACCCTGCCCACCTGAAACACAAGGTAGGTGCCCTGTTTCCCACCAGCTGCTTCTGACCTGACCTGCAGCAACCTGAGGCAAAGGGTAACAGCCCAGAGCAGGAAATCTGTGCCCCTGCAGGTGACAGAGAGGAGGTACCAGCAAACCAGGCAGAGCTGAATCATTAGAAGGAGAAGGGCCGGGCCCCACCTTCTACAAGATACTGACACCATCCCAATAGGAGTATGATCAAACCATCCTGGGCCCAACCAGGATACCCCGCAGAGCCCATAGGGGAATGGAGTAAAGCTCAGTACAGGGACAATCAAGTGGTGAGACTCAAGGTAGACCCAGCCTCTGGGCTAAGGAGTCCCCACCTGCTGGACTACTTGGGGCTTCAACCATTCAGACCTCAATCAGCTTGCCCAAGACCAGAAAGGGACAGTGACACAGTGACCTGCACCAGAGAAGCTGCCATGAGGCCCAGGATAGTCACACCAAAGACCAGATTCAACAACATCAGAGCAAAATCCAGCAAGCCCCACAAAGCGTGCACCCAAATGTTTCTGTGTGTGAGTGTGTGTGGTTGTGTGTGTGTTTGTGTGTGTGTGTGTGTGTGTGTGTGTGTGTGTGTGTGTGTGTTGGGGTTGTTGGTTTTTTTTGGTGTGTGTGTGGGGAGGGGGGATTGGTTTTTGTTTGTTTGTTTTTCCCTGTTTTCCTTTCTTCTGTTTTATCTTGCATATCTCTAATTTCTCTCTTTCCTTTTATTCTAGTCTACTTTTGACTATTCTTATTAATTTTTCTTATTTTATTTAGTTTTTCTCTTTTCTCTCATTTTTTTCCGTTTTACTTTGCCTAGTTACCTCCTGGTTCATAGGTCAACACTCAACCAATGAGCCACACTGGCCAGCAGGGATGTCCACTTTCAACACTTCTATTCAACATAGTATTGGAAGTTACAGCCACAGACATGGGTTTCAAATGTGCAATTCCATGGTACATCATCTGTATATTGCATTGTGTACCCACCACCCAAAGTCAAATCTTCTTTTGTCACCATATATTTAACCCCTTTGACCTTTTACCACCTCCCACCGCTTTCCCTCTGGGGGATTGTGAAAATTAATAGTTGTTCTCTCTTACCTCTTCTCTCCCTCCTTGCAGGGCAAAGACCTGATAGCTATTCTCTCCTCTCCTGGAGAAGTGCCTCACTGGCAGCGCCCAGCTAGCTCCAGCCCCTCCTCTCCTCTCTTGACTCTTTCTCTCTTTTCTCCCCTCCTCTCTTCTAAAATAAATAAATGAGAATAAATTTTTAAAAGTGCATTTGTAATAATAAAGGGTGTTTCCCTATGGATCCATCCTTCTCCTTCTCCAGTGAGCGGGAAGCAGCCAATTCATGAAACCTAAATTGTAAAACTTAGATCATGGAAAATGAGAAACTTGAGAATCATAGCCTGCTGTGAAATTTGCAAGGTTCAGAGGACAAATTTACCCCTCTCTCTTTCTCAATCATTGGTCCTTCAAGTGTGGCAAGTTTTCTTTTCTTGGGGGGAGAAAGATGGGTGTAGCATTTAGTTCAAGAAACACAAAACCAAGGCTAATGTGTATGAATGTTCAGATTGTGCACTGATTGAGGATGTCACTTCTAAGGGAGCACATACTGACTTATTTGAGAGTAAGAAGGTGATTCTGAGAATCTTAGCTGGGTCTTACAGTAGACCCCAGATCCATCAGAGAGAGCCAAAACTTCAGAAATTCATAGCAAATGAATTCATGCATACACTCAGAAGAAGATACAATCATATACTTGCATGCACACACATGCACACACACTTGTATATGGCTGTGCCATGACCAAAATTCTCCCAGCATTCACTGAAGAGTTTTTCTCCCACACCCAGTTCACTGAGAGTCCTGATTCCTGTTCCCCAGTCTCACTCTGATCAGATCCCACCGCATAAGGGATCTGATCAATGCCCTGGCATTTGCAGTGTGCATGAATGGACAAGAGTATGCAGTGAAGCCAGGTCAGCTGCCTGCCAGGGCTCTGGAAAAATCCTTGAACAGAGCTGTTCATATTGTATAATGGTATACTAAGTTGTCATTTTTTATTTAAAAGGAAGGGGTGCTCTTTAAGAATCTACCCAAAGGACAGTGGGCTATGTATAGCCATCCCTGCACAGATCTGTGTTCGAGTACTTGCTGAGCACTTATT